TGGCTCACAAGCCTTCCAAGGGGCTTGTCCTTTTGCCCACGGCGCAACTGGGGGATATTTTGCAGCTGGCACACGGATGAGCATTATTTACTAATAGAAGACTGGGCTCCTTTTAGTGCCTACATCATCAAGGAAGATGTGACTAACTCCATCGGGTATTCTTGCTAATGGAAGGCTTGTGTGCCAAAAGAAGCCAATTCATTAGCAAGAGCATGACATTTTCTTTAGACAAGAACTTTGCAAATCATTTGTCTTAGCTCAGGGCATGTCTGTTGGCACCAGACTCTAGGCCAGGAACATCTTGTGAGTTGAGAATCTACTCTTAGCAACACCTCAGCCCACCCATTGGTTGGATCCTCCTAGCTGCTTTGGAAATAGTCCAGTTGCTTATACTTTTCCCTGCATTTCTGGCCATGCATGCCATTCTATTTGCAGCCAAAACAGTGCTACCCACACCGAGGAACGAGATAGCAGCAGCACTGCAGGAAACCCAAGGTCTGGAAAAGTACGAGCAATACCTATGTGAGTGGGGGGAGGGGGGACCCTACAGTGGGCAAACCCCCAAAATACCCCAGTGAAGACAGGGCATGTCAAGTCCAGAGAACCTGGTGGACCGTTGCAGGGAAAATGAAAAATGGCAAGAGGGGAAATGCACTTCTGAACAGAAGCTCTCAGCACTGCAACATTTAGAAGTGCACATGATAGGCATGGCCTGAGTGGAGCCAGCTGGAGCCAGGGGTCAGACTAGATGGCCCTGGAGGCCCCTTCTGACTCGCTCAGTTTCTGTGTTCCTAACATCGTGTTGCAGGAGCCGCTTGTGTTCTCTGAAGGCTGATTCACACATGCATGTCTTCTTTTGTGATGACTCTCAGCTAAATGTCTGAATAGCCTCTGTTGAAAAGTCCTGTGGTTTCACTCTGGCATCTGATGCCATGGAAGTTCTATCCGTGGTGATTGATCTGGGTCAACTATTACAAACCGACCAACTGACCAAAGAAGAGTTCAGTCCTACAAGCCAGTGTGCCAGTAAGCAGTGGCACTGGAGAACTTGAATTGCTACATGTCTCAGCGTCCAGCATTGCCATCTCCCCTTTGCATGTGGGCCAAGGAAACTCTGGATCCACTGCAGAAATCCAGAGCAATGGACCTATTTTTTAAAAAAAGCTCTAACCCTGGTTCTGTGGCACGTGTGGCAGCCAAATATAGCCCCACATAGGACTGCTCCACAAGGGTGCAATTCAAACAGGAGAGCTATTGCATTGCAGGGAAAACGCCTGTCAGCTTTCAGGGCAGACACAGAGATATCAAAACTGTGTCACACTGACACGTCTGACATGGTGGCATTCCAGAAAGACAGCCCTGCACTTTGGTAAAATCAATGTTAGTGGGTAACTTACACAATGTTTGAGAACTCAAATCGAAATCCAAACCGTTCATTTTTAAGTCATGAGAAATTGCCGTGTGATTTTTATCTTGATGAATCGACTGTTTTCCTTGTTGCAGAAGACTGCAGGTCATCAGTGTCCATGTGCTAAAGCCCTTAAGACCTTTGTAAACAAAGCAAAGGAGGAGGAGGTTGCTCATTTTTAATCATTAACCTAATTGTTGCCATCCAAAACTCACTTCCAGATGGCTTCACTGCCTCCAGGGCTTGGTTCTTTACAAGACTGAAAGAAGAGCATTCCTTCCCTAGAACATCACAGGGGCAGGAGAGACCAAGGACCCTACCGACTGAAAGTACCCTCTGCAAGCCCAAATTGTGCCCCTATCCCCAGCCTCCCCCCTGCCACTCGGAGTCATCCAGGCAATCCATTTCATCTATCCGTCAACGTGAAATGGAAAATTTCTTCTTCTTCTTCTCTTCTCACAATTATTAGCAAAACCAAATTACACGCAGAGTCTATTCATGAGAACATGTGCTGGGTGTGCAACCGTGTTTCCCCACCTACATTCCTCTCATGCTCTAAAATTATTGGTGTGGCTGGCCAGAAATCCTGATTATGACAGTGCTTGCTCTTCCATTTAATTTCCAGACCAGCAGCAAGACCAGATACTGAAGGTGAAACTCAAATTCTTTGGCCACCTAATGAGAAGGAAGGACTCCCTGGAGAAGAGCCTAATGCTGGGAACAATTGAGGGCAAAAGAAGAAGGGGACAGCAAAGGATGAGGTGGCTGGATGGAGTCACTGGGGCGGTGGGTGTGAGTTTAGGTGGACTCTGGGGGATGGTGGAGGACAGGAAGGCCTGGAGGAATGTTGTCCATGGGGTCATGAAGGGTCGGGCACGACTTTGTGTCTAAACAAAAAAGCTGCCTCTTAGCTTGTCATGGGAAATGCCACTAAGAAGCCTTGTTCATGAGAAAATGTAATCGAAGCAAGTACACACGCCTCCTTACATCGCAAACCTCATGACTCGCACTAGTCTGGTGCCCTGTAGGCAGTTTGGACTACAGTCCCAAGAGCTCACGACCACTGGCCGTGCTAGTTGGAGCCAAGGAGCGCTGAAGCCCCAACCACTTGGAGGCCCCCGAGCTGAAGAAGGCTGCCTTAGCATCTCTCACGCCCACTCAACACCCGAGGCTGCCGTGTGGTTCCGAACACTGCTTTTCCCATCCTAGGATGGCTTTTCTTACTCGGCAAATCTTATCACATGCCATATAGACGTGGATCTCCTGGGGTGAACCAGCAAGAAGGTTGGCCTGGTGCTTGGGAGAGCAGGGTTCAAGGTCCTACTCAGCCATGAAGTCCACTGAATAACTTTGGGGAGGTCGCTGATTCTCAGCCTAACCTACCTCACAGAGTTGTGGTGTGGATAAAATGAAGAGGTGGAAGATGACAATTGGGGGTGGGGAGGGCTTCATTGTCTCCAAACAGAATTTGCAAGAGAGCCTAGATCTTTGTTTTGTTTTTTCTCCTCAGGGTAATCTGCTTTCAGCCTGTGATTATGTCTCCCCCTCCCCCCCTCAAATAACGCAAACCCCTATTTCCCCCCAGAGCACCATATTTCACAACTTGGGCTCACTCACTTTATATGAACTTGCTGCAATTTCTGAAAGTTGTGTTAAGTGGAGAGGCACCATCTCCTTCTCACCGAATTGATTGAAATGCTGTGCTGATCAGTTACGGAATGAAAAGTGCTTTCATATCCTGAAGGGGGCAGTTGAGCATGAAAGGGTTAAGGCAACTTATAACTACAGTGCATGGTAACCAGCATTCATAGCCTGAAAATGGTTTTGCTGGTCAGCCAGAAGCCAGCTAAACCTCAAAAAAGAGAAGTGGGCGGAATCCCTCCTGGAATACATTTCTCTTTTTTTGTGCAAGCCAAGCGGGGAGGTGCTTCACTTCCTGCACAAGTGAAGCCACTCGGGTGGTACAGAAGCCACTCGGATGGTGCAAGAGGGTCAGAGTAATCCATTTCCCTTCTGCCAGCCTGTTCACTTGCCTGCAAGGAGTTCCTGGCCCAGTAGGTAATTACCAGTCTGCCTTACAAGTATGTGAAAGCAATTGCAAGATTTTAAAAACAAAACCAGAAAAACAACCACCAAACAAATACTTTTAAACTGCAAAGCGGGGCTGAGAGATCCGAGGGTCAGAGGTCCAAAGAAGCAACAATCTTCTCATGGTTGGTGGTCCACACAACACACCCAAAGAGCTTACAACAACCTGCTAGTTTATCCACTTATTTAATAGCATTCATTCTTTAATTTCTATGCAATGAACAAAAATACAGGGTAAGATGATAATTGAGTGTTGCATGATATTACTACATCAGAAAACAAGATTGCCTTGCCAGCTGTTTTCAATTGGTGCCGAAATCCAGGAAGTGTTGTCACCCGTCTCATTTTATACTGGCAAGATGTTCCAGAGACTGTAACAGCGAGAGGGACCTTGGGCCCCCCAAAGGATAATTCAGATTCCCCGTTCTGAGGGCAGAAGCAGATGCCCTCTCACCTGCATCTGGGGCAGAAAGCACCACATCACCTGCCTCTCCGAGGTCAGAATGCTGACTTCAGAGAAGGGGCCGGGGAGATGCTCCGTGGGTCACATGGGGGAGCAGGCTGGTGCCTCCAGGCACGGCGGCACCCTCCTCTTCTTCCCCACCCAAGCACCCCCAGCCTAATGGGGGCTTGTAGCAGGTGCATCGAGGAAGCACTGGCAAGGGGGACTGGAGGCAATTCCGCTTCCGTTGCAGCACCAGGCCTTTCGAACCGCCACTGGCTAACTGCAGGGCAACCTGTTTCAGGGAACCATCTTGTGCATGCCTAGACAGAAAGCTGGGCACCACCAGGCTTTCCTTGTTGCTGGGGAATGCTGGGAGCCTGGAGGCTTCTGGGGCACAAAGGGCTGGGAGAGGCTGAAAGCTGTCAAACTTTTGTTCTGCCTGGAGAATCCGGGAGTTGTGGGGTTTTGTGTACCTTCCCTAGGGAATTCTGGGTTTTGTTTCCCTGCTGAGGAGTGCTGGGAGCCTCTTTCCCTCCCTCCCTCTCTCTCTCTTTCTTCTTCTCCGCCCTGGGAATGCTGGGACACGTCAGACTGCCCCCTCCCAGTCCGGCCGGGGCAGGTTGGGAACCCGAGGCTCGCGCTGCGCCTGAGCGCGCCCGGAGAGTCCGCGCGCCCGGCTGGCGAGGAGCCGCCCCCTTCCCCGCGCCGCGCGCTCCCGGGGCAGGCGCCCCCTCGCGCATGCCTCGTGCGCCCTGCCGGCGCCTCCCGCGCCGCGCGTGCCCGGCGCCTTCCTTTCCGGCCGCGGCGGGGCGAAGGCGAGCGCGAGCAGGTGCGCGCGCGCGCACGCGGGGCCGAGGACGCCCCGAGGCGGCTTCCCTCTCCAGCCGGCGGGGGGGGGAGCGGGCGGCGGCGGGCGGGCAGTGCCGCAGCCATCCGGGTCTCGCCGCCTCGCTGCCCCCTCCTCCCGCGGCTGCTGGCTGGCGGAGCAGCGGAGCAGGAGCCGAGCCGAGCCGAGCCTCTGCCTGCTGGGCGGGCGGGCGGCGGCTGCAGGCCGCGGCGATGCATCTGCACCAGGTGCTCACCGGGGCCGTCAACCCGGGCGACAACTGCTACTCGGTGGGCAGCGTCCAGGACACCCCGTTCACGGTGAGCCGGGCGTTGGGCGGGCCTGGGGAGGGGCCAGGGCTGGGAGCCGTCCGGAGGCCGGGAGAAAGGATGGAGGAGGAGAAAGGAAAGGAAAGGATGGAGGCGGCGGCGGCGGGTCCAAACCGGCAGCCGCGCTTTAAGCCAAGGTTGGCGGGGAGGTTTCAGGTTGCGCGGGTTTTATCCCATTTTTTAGGCTCGGCGCTTTTTTTTTTTTTTTAAGCAATTAATTCTATGAGGATCTGGAGAGCGGCACCTTCATAATCAGCACTGAGCTGCAGGAGAGAGTATTTCGCTTTGGCGCACGCCTGCGCGCACGGCCGCGTCCGTGCGCATGGCTGCCGCTGGCCGAGGGAGGCTTGCTCGCGCTGCGCCCGGGGGGCCGTGCCCGGTGGACGCACCTGCGCTGCATCCCCGCCCCGGGCCCGCAGTCGCGCTGCCCGCCTGCTGTGCTCTGGCTGGCCAGGGGACCCGTGTGCCGCTGGCTTTGCGTGGGGGGCCTGGGAGGGGGGAGAGGCGGTCAGGCTTCCTGACCAGGTGGGAGAATCATGAGAGGGTCTCCCCGCGGACCGTGATCATCTGGCAAAGGGGCCTTGAGGAAGTAAAGGTGTGTGCTGTGTTGAACACACACGCGCGCACACAGGGGAAGAGAGCGTGACCTGTCAGGTGCCTTCATAGGCAAACTTTGGCCTGCAGAAATTGGCACCAAGTTGGCAGTCATTGTGATCTCCCAGCAAGTACAAGTGAAACTGCTGCTTCAAGGCCTGGCTGAAGAGCTAGCATCCCCTGACAGTCTTTCCCTCCCACCACCCCTTGCTTTAGACAGGTAGGAGGTCGTTTATTTACCAAGATGAGGAGGGCTGTTTATCAAGGCGGAGTTAGTTGTAGATGCAGTTAGAGGGGGTTGTAACTTTCCTAAAGCTTGAGGCTGGTGGTTAGTCATCCCTGGAGGTGGCAGGAGTGGAGTAGGCTAAGCTGCCTCATTCCAGGGATGAAACACCAGCACTTCAGCTTCACTCTTTGGGGATTTGTGACAATGACTGCACACCCCAGTGGTGGGCGAGTGAGATTTCTAGCAGAATCCCCAGACAGGATGGTGAGAGCTGTTTCTAGCTGTGACATTATAAGCCCACCTGAAAGCTTCTTATATTTTTAAATTAGGAAATGTCATAATACTGTCTCTATAAATGCAAACTGCTTTGGCCCACCCTGAAATAAAAAGCAAGATTTGCATGCAACAGTCTGTTTAAATGCTTCCTTTCCCAGGCTGTGAATTAGCTCTGTTATTGTTCAATAAGTGACATTGAGTAGAGTATAAATACCTATTTGCTAAAAATAAATCGGTGGGGGGGGGGCACAGCTTTTTCCCTATAGGAGTTTATCAGCCTGACCAATACAAACTATGGGAGAAGATATGAGACACTCCACCTTTTGGACATCATAGTTCAAGGCCCAAGTCATTTTTTGTGCAGAGTTATATCCTCTGTAGGTCAAGTAACTTCAGGGCCTGTTGGCAAGCTCCCGCATGTACAGGTGGCCTCTTCATGAGTTTGCCTTTCAAGTAACAATTCTGCAAAACTGTGTGCTGTGCAGAAGCAGCTGTGGAGTCTTCCTCCTCTGTACTGCTCTGCAGCTTTACTGACGTCTAAGGGCATTGCATGACCACTGCTGTTGCGGCATCCTGGCATGTCTTTTATCGCCACAGAATTCAGATCCAGTCAGTCACCTGGGGGCCACGTTGAGTAGCACTCGTTGCCTGAATGCTTTTCCCGAATCTTACTAATATATAATCAAATGTGACAGATCCCTCCCCCCGCAGTTGTTTTAATGCCAGTTTGCTAACAACACTGAAGCAATGAGATGTGAGATAGATTGTATTTCATGTACTGACCCCAAACATTCTTCCTATTCTACATCCTGGTAAAGGAACCATGCAGCCTAAAAGCCTGCTTAGAAAGTATCAAATAATTTTAGTGCTAATGCAGTCTGTTGCAACCAAAACATAAATAACAATCATTCAAGCTCTTTCATTGTTACAATTCTCCCCTTCCTAGTTACTGTTGTTTGTTTGGGCTTTGTTATTCCAACGCAATAAGTTATCTCATGCCACAGAGACCTGGTTTCCTGGTGGTCTTGTTTGTCTTAAATACTTAAGTTGTTTTCAGAGCCCTTGAGTTAGAGAGCTAATGCTTAAGAACTTCCCAATAAGGCAGAACCTGACTTCAGAAGTTGAGCAAATACTGATAGTTGCAGTCATGGACTTACCCCCTCTTGTCGTCGCAGTCACCAGCTTTAACCCCCAGAAGACCTGCCTTTGTATAGTATATGGGCCTGCTTTGACTCTGTTTGACCCACGGCTACCAAAAGCTGTCCTCCTGCTGAGAACTGGTTTGATGTTTCTGCCCATATGCTGGGTTATTTGATCTCTCTGCTAAGCCTAGGGACCTCTATATCTGAGTCCCCACTGGAGCTGAAACACGGAGAAAGAGAGGAAGAAGGGGAGTTGTAAGGTACAGTGGACTGGGAATTCCCTCTTTCACCACTCCGAGCTAGGAAGGTCAGTCTGGAATGGAGCAGAGGGTTTCCAGTGAGGTGGGGTATTTATTTATTTGGTTATTTATTATTACAGTTCTATACTGACCCATAGCCCAAAGGGCTTTCTGGGCTGTTTGCTAATTTAAAATGAATGAAGTTCTTAACAGTAGCTGCTATGAGGCTACAGCAGGGTAGAGATCAGGGTTGGGATTGTAGAAAAAGCAGCAGAGGGTTGAAATTTGTTGGCCCCAGATTGGGAGTTACCCTCACAGACTGTAGCCAAACTGCAACTATTAATGGTTCTGCAAAAGCAAAAGCAAAACCCAACCCCTTCCTGAAACATGTCATGCTAAACCACATGATTAACCTAATCTGTAGTTTGGCTTTACATTTCCACATTTATGCAATTGCTCCGTTTCTAGTCTTGGGGAAGGCAGCCTGAATTTTCCAGGAAAGAATCATCTAGACAGCCTTAATATGTGATTTTGCACAATTCAGAAACAGAAGCAGTGAGAAATGGTCAGAAAAGTACATATTTGCAAGTCCACAAGTACAGTTTGTAAAAACACATTCAGAACAAACACAGGCTCCTTCAGCTAAGGGGGAAAGGTAGCTTTTGCAAGGTAGCAAGTTTTCCTTTCAGAAAAATTGCCCACACGGGCGATCCTGGGCAACGCAGCAACACACGGCCGGCTGTAGAACTCGAGCTGCCAGCCTGTCTGCCCCATCTGCTTGGGAATTCCCACGGTGGCACAAGTTGTCCTGTCTGTTGGTCTCAGTCTGGTTAACTCATTCCCATCAAATGCATGTTGAATTGGCATCCTTGTCCAATACCACCCCCATCTGATGCTCCATGGAGGCAGTGAGCAAATCCCATGTTTTGTTCTCCTACTTGTCACATTTTCCCACTGGTATTAGAACATGAGTGATTCTGGTATCAAATGGCAGGATGGGGTTTTCCGTACAAAGAGCACAGGGCAGGTACTGCAGAGAAGTCAAACCTTGACAGTGCTACTGGTGAAGAAACTAGAATTACTGTATACATATTGCAGTGCTTTTTTATGGCAAACTTCTGGCCAGTGCCGAAAGGTCTCGATGGACTGTCTTACCTAAGACAATCTGGTCTGATAAACCATGGTTTGTCGAACGGAGAAGGAGTTGTCTGCCTGCATGCTGCATCTGACTATCACAAAGCTATCTTTTTTGTCCTAAAACAGTTTCCTGTGTCATCTGAATTGGGAAACTGGGTTAAGAAGCTAAAAGGACAATCCATTGTATGTTTAGACAGGAAAAAAGGTCTTCCAATTCCCAGCATTCCCCAACCAGCAAAGGACTCTTTCCGTCTAAACATGCATAGGATTGTAACCTAAAATGGCTTTCTAAAGCTGGGCATGTGAGGAAGGAGGTGGTTAGAAAGAAAGCACATCAGATCATGGCTTGTTCTCATCCCTGTTTTGCCAGACTGGAATTATTGTGTCTGTCACCAGACCAATGTTGTGAAAGGAAAGGGCTTTTGATTAGTGATAATGGAAGCCTGATTCATATCAGTGTCTTATCATTGGCTGCCCAGAGAGCATGATGCTAATGGGCAGCTTTTAAACAAATATGATGATGATGATGATGATATCATTGTTCCAGCTAGTTCAGTATTGGCTATACTTCCTAGCAACATGGCTTTAGGATTGGAGAGAGGCGTTTTTCCTAGCACTCTGGAGATGTAAAGGATTGAAGCTGGGACATTTTGCACGGGAAGCACCTGTGCTTTGACTAAGTTATGACCTTTTGTGTGAAAATAGTGCAAAGCAACATAAAAAATGCAAAATTAAGTACATTTCTCATTAGAGCTTGGTTATTGAACTACCGGATTGGCAATTTCTGGTGTTCCTTCATATACAGGATATGGAAGGAGCTGTGCATTGAGAAATCGTGGCAGTTTGGTCTCTTGCCAAATAAAGAGCTCCTGTACAAGCAGCAAGTGTCTTCCGTAGCTTTTCATCAAAAGGTTCCAAGACCATTGATTCAGAGCTTGCCAATACCCAGATACTGCAGACAACTGCTTAATTTCATTAGAGACGGCCCAGGAAGTTCAGAGCTCTATTATCCAATGACCTTTCGCACGAACCTGCTGGGTTTAGTGTTTCACATGCCCTTTCAGGATGTCGGAATAGCTGCGTCAGTGGCAACGGTGGAAGCGCTATCATCTTTGTATCCAGATGAGCCTGTTAGAATGAGGTGGGCAGGCCAGAGATGGAGGGTTTTTTGGGAAGGATCTAGCATAGGAAGCCATCTAATCGTGAGTCAGCCCATTGGCCCGCTAACCCAGTATTGTTGACGTAACTATCAATGACTCTCCAAGGCTTCAGGCAGGTGGGTTCTTGCTCTACCTGGAGATGCCAGGGCTTGAACCTGGAACCTTCTGCATCGAAAGCATCCGCTCTGCCATGGAGCCAGAATTTCCCATTTGTGAT